CCCAGAATATTACCTAGAGGCCAAAAAACATGTTTCAAGGGTAACAATACTTATTTCTACTAGTAGGAGCTCTTGCTTTGCCTTTATTGTGCTCACGAATGTCAGAGGAAGTTGTTATTAAATTAAAAGCTGTATTTGAATGGAGTTTTTATGAGATACTCTAGTGAATAGGCCTATTCAGGTTCAATACATCAGGAGTTTTAAAAAAGTCTCTGAAAAAGCTTCTAAACTATACTTTTATATAGCTTCGGATTTTTAAAAAAATCCCCTATATTAAATAATCATAATGTGATTTACACTATAAATAAATTATATAAAATATTGTGAGAAGATAAAATTGGAACTTAATTTTCCAAAGAATTTTATCATACTTAAAAGGTCTCAAAGCACTATGTAAATTAATAAGTTATTTGAACTTCAGTTCCAGAGTGATTTAAACTATTAATGATGTACTTGGAAGTAGCTGAGACTCTGAGACTGATAAAACATTTTTAAAGTGCATTATTGCTCAGAATAACAGCATTTTTCTGTCATTTTTCTAACGATTTTTAACAAAAATCCATATCATCCAGTCGTTTGACAAGAGGAGAAAGCATACATGCTTTAAATCTATACACCAGAAAGCATGTCTCTTAATTGGGGTAAAGTCCCAAATTTATTATAATTGATATACTCATATTTGAAATAAAATAAAATAAATAAAATACTATAAAAATATTGATGACTCTGATGAAAAGACTCTGTTGATATTTAATCACTTAATTTGCCTTTTATATCTCCAGAAGTATTTCTTCCTGGGGTATTTTGTCAAGCTGCTAGGAAAGCAACTCTAATTGTGGCACTCCCTGCCAGCACCATTTATTTCTTTGCTGACACTGTTACATGTCCTGGGGACAATGACCTTGGCATCATCACTGTGTTTCTGCTTTGGTTGATGCCTTCACTTCCCATAATAATTTCTCAATATGGACTTTAGAAATGCTTTCTGGGAAATTTGAGGTTGAAGCTTGCTTTCTTAAGCCCTGAGAAATGAAAGGGGAAATCCATCATGGCCCCCTCCCACCAAGCTGACCTGGGGATCCCAGTGCCAACTCCTTCCACAAAGGCCCCACTCAATTCCTAGGTCTTCACAGGGTCTCCATAACTGCTGTTTGCCTCTTAATGGAAGGAGAGGCAAACTAGGGAACCATTAATACCCTTGGATCCCTAATTTCCCCCCCTATCGCTTAAAGCTCCAGAATGCTCCAGGATGTTAGCAATTCTTTTTGCTAAACTGTTTTCGTAGGTTTTGAGTAGAAAATTCAGTGGTGAGACAAATCTTGATGTTGCTGACACCAAACACTATTTTTCAGACCTTTCTCTCCAAACATATACTAACTATACTTCCAGATATTCATTCTAATTTCATTTTTCCCTCTGTTTTTAAAGCTGTCTCCCAAAACATACATTTTTTTCAACATTGATCTATGTCTGTAGTCATCTTGTTCTAAAGCCATAAATCTGTCTCTAATCTCACTACCTATATTACTGCTCTAAATCCTTCCCCCCCTCTCCAGAAAGTGAAAAAAACAAAGACCCTAATCTCTGACTTTCAAAGATGCCATTTTCTTTTTATCTTTATGGTGGCATAAACCTGCTCCAAAAGTGGGATGTTGGGGGGAGTAGGGGAGCAAGAGGAATTCCTCTTTTGGAAATGGCTTTTGAGCCAACTTGCATGAGGAGGGGAGCTTCCTATTTCCACCTGTTCACGTGGAGAGAAGGCAAAGCAAAACAAAAGACCTCACGTCAGCAACATTCTTTAAACAGATCTTCATATGAATGAAAGGGAGATCAACTGATTTTTTATACAAGCATTTAAATATAAATAATTATTGTTTGCTTCTCAGTTTTTTTATGCTTCAGAGATGTTTTTAAAATAACTTGTCTTCATGATGCTGTACATGCAACTGTGAAAATGCCTTTCATGTCTGCAAAATGCATATTATTTCTCTAAAATTGCCCTTAAATTGGAAAATTTCTTTCTTATTATTCAATTTTAATTTTCTTTAGAGTAATAAAATAAGCATTATGTTTAGGTCCTTTGGAGATTATTTCTTAGAGAAAACAGCACATAAATCTTCATGAAGTCTAAACGAATAGAAAAAATGTGTAGTTTTTCTTCCCTGGAAACACAATTTTATTACATATTACTAGAAGATAAACACATCTAACTTTATAGAATTCTATTGGAAATTATAGTTCCTGGAAAGTAATCTTAACTTTAGGAGACCATACAATCAACATGTACAGTATTAAATATGTTAGGGCTTCAAACGGACATTAATTGGAAATTTAAACATTGAAAATATTATGATAAATGTTACAATTTTTTTGTTGTTTTGCTTTGCTCTGTTTCACCAGAAAGACTTTTTGGATTGTGAGTTCTCCTATGCTGACTATTCCAAGGGTAATGCCCTTATAATAATAAACACTGTATTTCTTCTCAACATCTCTCTGAAGCAGTCACAACAGAACCTCTTCCAAAAACCTGTTCATGATTTTTGAGGCAATAACAACAAAAAAAAATTGCATTGTAGCTTTTCAGGCTTGAGTACAGTACAAGACAGAGCTTTTTTTTTTTTTTTCCTTTTTGTCTTTTTTCGTGTCCGGCAACGGATCGCAACCCTCAGTGTCGCACCTGGACCGGACCGGGACCGGCAACGGGATCGCAACCCTAGGTGCTGCGTCCACACCTCGCCCAGCCAGTGAGTGGGAACCGGTCTGTATGTGGGATCCGAACCCTCGGCG